TATAATACGAGTTACCGACTTCATGTCCTGTACCAATTATCCTCTTCGTCTTGCGATACTGAAAAACACACAAGGATAAAAGATTATAGAACAGTGAAGAGTTATGGTAATTTTGCTAATAAACAATAAATTAAAGGGAAAGTTAGGAACATGAAGATTAGTCGCCGAATTAATATTAGGACTAAGATGGGCATTGTTCGAGCCTGCAACATTAGTTCAGTAACCGTTAGTAAGAGTGACCAATTTGGAAAAAGTAACTTGATGATAATCAAGAAGAAAAGCAAACGAACTAGTCATTTGTTCAGTTGCTCCGAAATCGATAATCTACAGATTGTGAGAGGAAGACAATAGATAGTGAGAAGATGCAATACTAGAGTGAGTGAGAATGACCATAGAAGTGGAAGTGGCATGTTTATGAGCCAAGAACTTAGCATACACGTCCTTTAGTACAAATAAGAAATTAGACTCTAGTGTTGAACTAGAGTTAAGTCACTGGTCCAGATACTAGGTGATTGTACTCATTAGACGAGACTTGATTGACAGACTAGATGGTTTGTCATGTTCCCAACAATAGTCAACGCAGTGACCTATTCAACCGTAAAATACATTTTCGAGGTTCACGATTCACCGAATGATCGTTACCTATAGTGTCTTATCTACCTTGAAAGCTAAAACCACGTCCACTTTGACTGTTACGTCCACCCCGAGCAATAAAAGAACAATTTTCGCTGAGTATACTATCTGAAAAAGTAGAACACTGAATATGATAGAATGTCTCTGCAAGACTAGGCAGCTCTTTTCCACCTAATATCTGTGCTCGGACTGCTTCAAACTCTGGCGAAAGACCAATAACAAAATTAAGATTGATATCTTCCCACTATTTTTCCATAACCTTCAAATCAAGAGAGAGAGAGAAAGGTTGATGCACATTCCTCTCCTAACATACAGCCAAAAACTTCTTATAATATTCAATGAGGCTGGAGGAGCCTTTCTCAAGCCCTAAGTATTGTTTATATGTTTCATAGATTCGAGTAACATTTTCAGTTCCAAGATGTGTATGTTTGAGATGTTCCCAAATTTGCTCAGTTGTAGACATTTATATGGATGAAGACTTGATATGAGACTCAATACTACCGATCATAAGTCGAATGACGATGTTATCCTCTTGATCCTAATGATCATTGAGAGTAGAATCAGTATATGTAGAATCAGTTTTTGAGGACTTGGCACACAGGTTATCTAAAATCAAGTGGTTAAATAAACCCTTACCCCCTAAAAAGACCTCAACACTCCTAGCTCAGTAAGTGTAATTTCTTTCATTCAACTTTTCTGGTGTCATGGGTTTAGATTGAACATCTTTGTCTTGAATGATGTGATAATATCCGCACAAACTAGTACTTGGGCCATAGATAATAAGACTAACAGTAGGCCCATAAACCAAGTGATTACCCCAACAATAAAACCAATATGATTAAACCAACACCAACAGCTCAACATGTTCTATTAGTAAAACCAATAAGAATTAAGAAACTTGCCCAAAATAATGGTTAAAGTAAATAAAGTGGAAATTACAGGGAGAGTTTTGTTTGGAGACATTTCAAAATTAACATTTAGAGTTTTTCTTTCAAAAATTAGATGAAATTCTTCTGTTAAATATTAATTAATTAAATTAAAATACACCGCCCCGCCCCTCCCCTCAACCTCATTTTACCCCAAACTTTAATTTGTTTCTACACATCTCCATTCTATCTCCTATTTTTCTCCCCGCACTCTCTACCGAAATCTTCCCACCCTCTCCCCACACTCTCTCTCCACCATCTTTCTACTGGCGATGCCACTTCGTGCAGTGGCTGCGCTTGCGCTTGCGTTGTCATGTGGTTGGCCTTTTTTCCGACCAGATTTACTGTACGTGGTGGGTTTTTGTTTTTTTGACCAAATTTGTTGTGTGGATGGTGATGGTGATGGTGTAGGTTGTAATGTGATGGTGGTGCTCGAGGTTGTGGTAGATTTAGGGTTTTAGGTATTATGGTGAATTAGATTTTGGATCTAGAGTTTTGGTGGTGATGGTAATGATGATTGTGCAGGTGGGGGTGGAGTGGTGGTGGCTGTGGCGATGCTACTGGTCACAAGTTAATTTGCACAAATCACAGATACTAGGTCACATGTCATATCGTACAGTCACAAATCAGTGTAAACGGGTTATGGATCAGTTTTCAATGGCTTGATCTAGTCACAAATCAAACGTCACGTATTTTTGTGCAATGATAACAAGTCACAGAGTATATGGCCTATAGTCCACAATACATGTCACGGGTCAGACAACAATTATCAAGTCGTGTATCATATTTCATAGGTCATTGTCAACTGGTTAGACCATCGGATCAATATTACAGGTAAATATACAGTCATCGATCAATGATCCGACAACCACCACAGAATCCCGATAACATCCCACCATCACCACCATTTGCACAACACCAACAACCACAAAAAAAAAAAATCACCCCAAAATTCCTCCGTCATCATCGGGGCAGTCTCTGGCGTCATCACCGGAGTTGTCGGAGCCTCCACTGGAGAGAGAGAAGAGAGGAGATGTGATTGGACTGCCTTTAAAAATTCAAATATAGTAATGAATATGATGGGGGTTGTATAGTAATTGAACTTAATAATATATAATAAATAATATTAATCATTTGATTTTTGAAAGATGGACCTTTTTTTAGAAATGAAATGGTGGATTGTTAAGGTCTTATACATGTAATGCTCCCATAAATAAAAACAATTGGCCCAACAGGAATCAAACCTCTGCCCAGACTTGTTTTCTCTCTCGTCTGTGATGTTGCCTCCCTCTGTTCGCGATTTTGCTGGCCTTTGTCACCACAGAACCACAGCTCACACAAAAGTTAGTTCAAGATTACAGATTGGTCCACACCCAAACCGCAGGTCTACACCAACCTTTGTCTTCTACACAAAACCAAAATCTGAAGCCCAATTGATCTCCACATATCGGCTGATCTCCACACCAAATCACGCAACACCTCACAAAAATAACAGATTTACTCGCCAATATTTCACCTCCGGCACCAAAGATGAAGCTGACCAGACCCAGAATTTTGAAAGAGAACAACCCAGAAAGCAGAATACCCAAAGACAGAACTAAAATTGAAAAGGAATCGATGATTCAGTGATGGAATCAAGAGGAAAGCTTTGATACCATGTTGAAGCGGTTTGGTATAAACACGGGAGAGAAGAAGATAATCATCTTCCTCTGTACTATTTTCATTATGAGCTTGTTTGGGAGGGATTAAAATCGAAAAATTAGTCGGTATTGTTGACTTTTATTAGACGGGTAGGATCCAATAATGACTATATTTTCAATTTTAATTGGATTAAAATCTCTCTCAAACAAGCTCTATATAAAAAAAGGCAAGAGTACAATTATGGAAACTTAGTACGAGTATGGAAACACAATAAACTAAAATTACTCTTTGCCTAAAAATACGTTTACTTCCTTAACAATGTCTTCAAGAGTCGGTGGAAGCTACATGTTTCAGAGTTTAGGTACGGGCCCATAGATAGGATGGAGGTTCATTTGATTCGCGCTTGATTACAAGAAGCTCAAAAGATAAGGCCAAGGAAAGAGGCGAAACTCCACTATAATATGGAGGTTCATTTGATTCGCGCTTTCCCTTTTAATATTTGAGAAATCTAAAGGCTACATGGTAATAGGAGGGAGGCGTGGGTTTAGATTTTATCTTTTCAGAATTAGAAATATACATCTTTTTGTTTCGTTACTACTTTTATGGGTGTTTAGGTGAGGGCATTCTATTAGCATTTTTTGGTGCCTTTAGAGCATCAAGCAGCACAAACCAGTTCGGCTTGACTAGCAGAGCATACTGGATTGTTAGACAGGCGATAGAGGGGGGATGGTTAATCAGAACAACTTATTTCTGGTCAATGATGTAAGAAGTCTGCAATGAGCAGAGTGAGGTGCAGTCCATTGCTTTGATGGAATTCCTATGGTTAACATCTCCTATCTGCCACCGAGGATTTAAAATGCTTGACAACAGCTCAGATTATTAAACATCCCTGTGGGAACCAGTAATTTTAAGAAATCCTTCCTGTACCCGATTCACTTTTTATCCTCTTGAGTCGATGCAAAGAACCAATTGCTTGGGCTGGATGGCTTTGGCCTGAGCAGGCTTGCATCCGTAAGATGTCTTGCATAATTTGAAGCCAGATCTTATAATTTTTTTCCAAAAAAGGGCTACTAGTCTTACTTTTTGCATAAGATTCCTCGTCAGTGCAATTTACCATTCGGCCTAAAGTGCATCGGCCACCCTTCCTTTTTCCAACCAAAACAGGAAAATACAAACTGAAACAAAAAAAGAAACGCAAATGTGATACCCTGAACTAATATTGGAGGAGGAGATACCAAGCGAGAAGAAGAAAGAGGAAAGATGGAAGTGCTGAGTATCTAGATGATGTGAATATTCATTACTAAACATTTTTGTGTTCTAAATTTTGTTAAGTTATTTGATCATATTTCACATATGGAACTATACTGTTTTCCATCTATCTATATGTCTCGTGTGGTGACAAGTTTTTGATAAGCACTTAATAGTGTTCTCATCTCCATCATGCCTACATGCTTTCAATATGTTAAAATCAGATGATTACCAAATTCTTGCTGTTTTATTTATAGCCAATTTTTACAAGTTAATTAGTTTCATTGCAACTTAACTTTAGACTGGATCTTTCGAAACGGACGTTTTATCACCATAATACATCTGTAATGTGGGAAAGAAAATTAAAAGAATTGCATAGCTCGAATAAGTTTGTTTTAGTGTTGAGAAGAAGGATAAGAAGCAGTTTTTATTTTCAACTGATGTCCTTGCTGGCCATCAGGCCTTGTATGATCATTCACTCTGATTTTTACTTGAGATTGCCTGTTGACATTCTGACCAAATGCACAAGTTGTATTCCTCCTTTTGATGCAGTTGAACATGAGAAATCTTGAATGCCATACACTCAGTTTTGGGACTGAATTCAGTACATAATTAGAAGGTATGAGTTTATTCATATTTTACCATCTATTGCAGAGCTACTATAAACTTCTATTCGTGATCATGGTAGACATTATTGAAGACAAGGCTTAAATGATATATGTGTCCCATTGTAACGGCTTAAGCTTTGAGATTAAATGATTCAACATGGTAGGCAAATGTCCTAAATTCAAATCTCCCGCCACCTGTTTACTAAAATTTTGCACGTGTTTAGGCTTTGATGGGAAAAGAATGAACCATGCCTAGACATGAGGGGGTGTGTTGAAGACAAAATTTGAATGATACACTCTTAGTTTCCGTTTCTTTTGGTCTACTTGTCTTTTCTTATTTTGTTTAGGTGTATTGATGATCCCTGGTCATATGAACAAGATTACCATATTAGTTTTAGGAAAAACTTGTAGTGAATATATAATAAATGGAATTATTAGTGATTAAAATTACTTGAAATTGTCTTGATATCCCTGAAATGGAAAGTGCTACTACTGAATTTCTTCGATATCTTAGGACTTGCAGTTGGTTTGCATAGTCACAAGGGTTGGTTTGCATCTCAGAAGCAATTAAGGCTTTAGCTCTGTTGTTTCCAAAACATTGGAAAACGATTACAGGAATGGTGAAAGCTGTGAAATATGGAGCCCGAAATCCCAGCAACATATAATCTGAAGTTTATTCACTAATCAATCTGTATGCAAGAAAGAGCTTTGAATGTTGGATAATATTTGAATTATTGGATGTCATAATCATACACTAATTTGCAAATTAATCTGGTTCGGGTCAATTGCATCAGTAAGAAATTGTCAAAGATGTTAAATAATAGTGTTTATTATTGCTTAAACCATATTGTTGTTATTATGTATGTCCTGCTGCTGTTGGATTGATTCTCTTATTCTACCACCAACCACACATTATGAACAATCATGTTACATGTACATCTTTTTTTATATCATTTTTGACATTGTACCTCGTGACGACACATGATTGGACAATTTTAAAAAGAAAAATACTTTTCCGTCCAACATTTTTTGAACTCCCACCCAATGTCAAACAAGAGGTGACCTATGGATAATGGAATATACACTTAGCATAATTCCATTATGAAACATTATAAATGTATATTAATTTACTCTTAAAACTACTTCTAAAGATTATGACTTAAACAGAATACTTATTATTGTTAAAAAAGAATAAATTTTGATAAAAACATAGGATGCTATTATTAAGTATTAATTTCTTAGTACAAAATAAACTTCCACGTTTATAAATATTCAAGTCTTGTGTGGAAATTACATCTATTAAGACATTTCAACTTCACAATTCAAAAATAAAATTTACGAGTTTTTTATTCAAAATTTAGATTATAATTAATTATTTAATATTTCTATTCTTTAATATTAATAATTTTATGAAATAAAACAAATCTACAAATCACCCCCAAACTCTAAATCATTTCCATCCTTTTTCTCTCCACTCTTTTTGTATCATATCCTCTCTCTTTCCTCTCCAGTGGACAAACTACCACCAAGCGGTGCCACTCTCCGCGAAGCCGAGCACAGCGTCGCTTTTCCGGAGAGAGTGACGCTCGTCTTTGTGAATGCCCTTCATAGTGCACGACTAGCATTTTCAGGCGCTTCATAGCGGTGCTCAGTGCGGCTGTGAAGCACTGTTCATGTCGTTCAGCAGGCTCAAGGTGATCAGTTTGGTCCAAGCGTGTACTGAGACTTGCTATTTTTGAGTCCCTTCTTCCCGCTATAGGTTTTAGTCGATCAGGCCGACGAAAGGCGGGACAACATATGATGGTTTTGGGGGCTGCACTTACTTGAATTTGTAGTTGTGACTTAAATTTTTGTAAATTGTGACTAATTAATTTGATCATTCGTGATCACGAATTAAGTTGTGACATATAAAATTTGTGATTTGCGACTGTGAAATAATTTGTGACTTATAATTTTTTGTATTTTTGTATTCGAAAAATAATTTGTGATCAATTAATTTGATAATATGTGAACAATTAATTTGATATTTTGTGACCATGAAATAAGTTGTGGATTATAAAATTTGTGATTTTTTATTAAAAAAAATGTGGCCAATTAAGTTATTTAATTTGTGATCGAGAAATAAATTGAGACTTATAAAATTTGTTATATGTGACTATGATGTCTGTAATTGTCACTAATACATAATTGTGATCATAAATTATATAATATTATGATCCTAATATATTTAAATAATAAAATATTTTTTAAATTAATTAATTAATAAATAAAATTGAAATTAATATATGATTTTTGAAAAAGTAAACCTTATTTATTAGATTTAAATGTCTTACTAATGAGATTTTCCCTTTTATTTATTCACATATTTCGAAGGATTTACAAGTGTTTATTTCTTACTCAATTTTATCTATTTATAATTTAAATTATTTATAAATAATTTCTAAACATACTTAGCCCATGTTTGACAACCTTAAATAGGAAAAACAATGTTTTGGATAGTGATTTTTAGAAGAATGTGTGGTAAAAGTGGGGAAAAGTTTCGTGTTGACATGTAAAATATTTTATCGTGTGAATGTTTGATTGAAATTGAGTATATAGAAAAAAGAGTTTTTTAATAATGATTGTCAAATAAGGGGATGAGTTTACCGATTGAATTTAAATTTAAGCAGACCTTTAAAATGAGTAATTTTCGGACGGGTTTATTCGAGTTAGACTCATTCAGCTCATCATTATCTGTGCGAAAAAATAAAATCGAAAAATCGTTTATAAAATTTCATTTGAGTCCTTAGGGTGGCAGGCCAGCAGGAGAGATTCAATCCATATCAATAACACAAATAGCTAATATACAAGTTTCTGGTTTCAGTTGAAAACTTCATCTTTGAGCATTTTCAAAGTCAAATTTTATTTGTTTTGTCTGTTTGTAGTCCCTGCATTACGGCAGATTCGCATTTTATTCAGAAAGGATAAAATAGCTTTTCCTAGGATGCTTTGCTTGAAGGGTGCCTATAAATAACCTCAAAACTGAATCTTATTTCCAAACTTCTAATTTAGTTCAAAATGGCGAAAAACATTCTCTTATTCAGCATTGTAGCTCTCAGTTTCTGCTTCTTTGCCTTTGCATTTGAGCCTTCACCTTTGCAAGATTTCTGTGTTGCAGATGCTGCTGCCTCAGGTAATACATTTATTAGCATCTCATGTTATACTTTCTGTTTATGGAAATAAATTGCAGAACTAAATGCTAATTTTCAGGGAGAGTAAATGGCGTGGCCTGCAAGAACCCCATGTCTGTTTCGGCTAATGATTTTTCATTCAGCGGGCTGCACTTGGTTGGTGACACATCCAACCCCGTTGGGTCCAGGGTGACACCAGTTACTGTGGTTCAATTGCCAGGTCTCAACACTCTGGGCATCTCAATGGTTCGTATTGACTATGCGCCAATGGGAATTAATCCACCTCACACTCACCCCCGAGCCTCTGAAATCCTGATCGTTGTTGAAGGCTCTCTCGAAGTTGGGTTCATCACCTCAAACCCAGATAACAAGCAGATTACTAAAGTACTTCAAAAGGGCGATGTTTTTGTGTTCCCAATAGGACTTGTTCACTTTCAACGCAATGTTGGTAAGGGAAATGCTGTAGCCATTGCAGCATTAAGCAGTCAGAATCCAGGTGTGATTACCATTGCAAATGCGGTTTTTGGATCAAAACCGGACATTGCTAGTGATATTCTTGCCAAGGCATTCCAGGTCGATAAGAACGTTGTGGATCAGCTCCAAGCCAAATTCTAGAGCTGCAACGACAAAAGTCATCGGTGTTAGATGAGGCGGGGCGTGTGCTTGTGCCTAATTTTCTTCAATTCGTCTTTTCTTAGCAATTTGTGCGTTAATGAGTTCGATTATGCTTAGCAGTTTGTGTGCTATTTGAGTGCTCCTAGGTAGGTTTGGCTGTTGAATGTTCTTGTTTATCTTTCCAGCTGTGAATTTTTGAATGTTTCACTTGTGCCAAGTTCAAAATATTGCTATTTGTTGCGCTAAAATTCTGCTAGTATGTGATATCTTAGTCAAACTCGAACCTGTTGCCCACGAGCTAGTGGCTAGTTTGGAACGATGCTATGATCGTTCCTCGAGGGCCAAGCTCGGCTGGGCCCACGAGTTCATGGGCTGAGCCGATGTTCGGCCTATGTGCTCCATTTTTTCTTTTAAAGATAAAACTCTCCTCCTTTATTCGAGTTTGGGACTAGCCACTTAAATTTCGAGTAGGCGTAGTTAAAAATTGTACACGAACAACTTGTTACGTATACAATTTTTTAAAAAAAATTTAAAAGCAATATTATAAAATAACAAATTTTATTAATATAGTAAAATTAAGCCCCTTTTTGGCATCAATTCTCTTTCTCATTTTTTTTCTTTTTTCATTTCAACCAAACATTCTCCAAATAAAATAATATTACACACAAATCTAAAATTTTTCATCACTTTTCCACCGCACATTCTCCCATAAATCATTATTCCAAAAATTTTCAACCCATTAAAATGGGTGTCACACTATAAATATTACTTATTTGATGACGTGCAATTTTGGCATATTTATTTTACAGTCGAAATGTCTTGACAATCTTTCACGTACATTAATGATTCCAAAATATCTTCTTTCAGTCAATTCCTAATCTCGGACACAGTCATCTTACCTGCACTAAATGCAAACTCCGAAACTACAGTATTAACTAGAAGTGTTAGTAGGACTTTTGCAATTGCAAAAATCATTGACTATCATCGTTCGTACTTTCGTCGGAAGTCAATTACTTTTTCTGAAATTATTTTAATTGATGCATTACTAGACATATTATGATTAAAGTAACAAGTAATTCAGCAGGCAATACATTTGGACTTGTATTCGATGTCTGAATACATGCAGTAGACATGCTACCACTAGAAAAACATATTTCATCATATATATACATATTAATGCCTTCAAATAAATTCACTATTTTAGTTTCGTCTTCTGCAATATTAATGGTAAGAGTAGGTGCAAATGGTGCCCGACTAATATTTATACACGTTCGTTCTGCATATAATTTATACATTTCACATAAAGTTTGCCTTAAATTAAAGTTACAAGTTTTGAAATTTGATCAATTACATATTTAGTACCTAGCTAAAGAAAATAATATAGGCAAGTCTTCCCTATATTTTTTAAACTTTAATTACATAGAATATATAATTTCATTAAATTTGGGGTCATTTTTGTATTTATGAAAAACCCTTGCAATAATATAAAGACGTTTAAGCACCATATAGTTAGTGGGATGGTACATTTTAGATAAAATATTTGTAGAATCATAAAAAAAAAATTCAATTTTTTTTTTAAATTTTAAAAGCTCAAAGCCAATCAGATTCATTCAAAATAGTATTATCATCTTTTCTAATTTGTGTAATGTTTTAAAATTCCGTTATTAAATGCTCAAATTATTTGTATAATTTTAATAATAAGTAAGTGGAGTTTCATCTACGTTCTACATCACTAACAAATGTTTTTGTATTCGTCACTCCAAATTTGGCACAAATTTTTTCGAATGCTTGTTTTTTACTAGGTGAAATTGTGATATATAATAATGCATTCCTAATTATTTGAATTTCATTCTTAATATGTTTCAAATCATCTTGCACAATTAATTAAATATATGATACACACAACGAATATGAAATAAATAACCAAATAAATCGACTGCAACATTTTATACAATTTATTGATAACTGGCTTATTAATACTAGCGTTATTAAATGTAAAAGAACGAATTTTACTCTCGTAGTTATATTCTCTAAAATACTCATAATAGCGTTAAATATATTGTTACAGTTGTGAAGGAGCTCAATTAGTTTAAAATCAATAATTTTTTTATGCATACTTCAAAGTGGGTTTATGTAGTGTGCAGTTACAGCTATATAACCTTTTTTATTAATCCATTCCTATAAATTCGAAGTTAAAGATATAACACCACCATATTTTTGGAAATCGACAATAAATTATTTCTTTGTATTAAGAAAATATTCTATTGTTAGAGGCAACTCAGCAACGGTAATGAATTTCACCATTCTTGTTCGATTTTTCTTCTTCGAATACATCCACGAGCAAAGTGTCGTAGAAGTAGAATCGATAATTGGACTACCAAATTGAAGTTACATTTGAGAGGCACCGACAAGCGTATGTTTGGTCGCACATGCTTTGTAATGACGATTGAGATGGGTGGCACAAATGCCCTTTTGCTATGTCAACCGTATTTGGTAATGTTTATATACTGCTTTAAATTCTACTACTCTGTCGAACATACGATCTATTGGAATCAATTTAAAGTAATCCCAACATTTTTCCTGTTTTTCTTCCTTTTCCGCTTTGGGAACATCAACGTCATCCAAATTAATTAGATTACTTCTTCCATGAGCATCCAAATCTGAAATATTTTCAGATATGAGTACTTCGTTGAGACCAGCAAATTCATTGTGAAATTGACTTTGCGGCTTCATGGGTGATTCGCCTCTAATACCAAGCAAGCCTTCAACAAATATTTGTGGATCCATTTGTGAAGAATTGATAATATAAAAACTTTATTCCTTGAATGAAGATGAAATGACGAATGAATATGTAGAAATTTGATAAATGTATGAACGTAAATAGTAATGAATTAGTTTATAAAATATTATGTATAGAATATGTATTGTAATTTGTATAGTATAATAAGTACGTAAATAAAGAGTATGCAAAGAAAGTATAAGATTGTAAATTTGTAATGTGATAATTAATATTAATTAATTGAAATTGAAAGTATAATGTGAAAGAAAATAAGAATTTTTGTTGGTGTGTGAAAATTTTTCGAAATAGATTGGAATATTTATAAAGTAAAAAAAGGGGGAAAATGTGGCCAAAACGGCAACTTTTGTAAAAAGTGACCGTTTTGGTCACTGTAGTGGCAAGCCACAAGGAGCCAGGCTCGTGGCTAGCCACCACACGAGCCGCTCGGCTCGTGCTTGGTCTCGTCAAAGTACGAGTCCGAGTCCAAGTAACCCGCGAGTGGAGTTTTGATGAGTCGAGCCGATGAGCTGCTCGACTCGTTTGTCACCCCTAGCAAAATCATGTAAGTTTTATGATTACAAATTAGAACCTATAACTATGAACTATAAAGCTTTTAATTATGAAGCGCTGATAATACTCAATTAATGAAAAGCATTAAGATTTTTAATTCCCTTATTTACATTTTTATATCAATTTCATTATTTGTCAACACTAATTTAAATTTGATTATCAATATCATTATTTTATTCAGTATTCTCTCTTGAGTAATATTAAAATATCTTCACATGTGGGTCTCTATTAAAGATGTGAATATATGAAGATGTACTAAATCATAACAACGTCCAATGAGATCATGCAAATACAAAGAATAAATGTATATATCTATGTCCTATTACAACGTGCTACAATTTTTATTCTTTATATGGAACAAAATAAAAATCACAAATCTATTCAATTATTGCTAAATAATTGAAAAGTACTAAATTCCTAACCATCTTTCAAATCAAACAAGTAATTAAAGTAAAAATCTAAAAATTAACATTAAAACATTAAAACATTAAAATATAGGATTCATTGTTATCCTGACGTCTATATAATTGGCCGAGCAAAATGGTATTACACAAACACGAATTGAATTGACAATGCATTACTCCTAAATTAAAGTGTAGAAAGAAGATGGAAGGTAATCTTGAATTTTGAATCTCTGATTTTTCATCTTGACTCTCTTTTTCTTCTTCAAACTTGAAGCAATTGTTGAATTAATGCGTATGATTATTTGTTTATGTATCGAAAGCTTCTCCTCCCCTAATAGATGAAAATCTGTATTTATAGTTTAAAATTAGGTCAAAACTCATGCCCCAATTAAATTCCTTGTAGAAGTCGATATAAACTAAGAAACATAATATGACCTTTCTCGGAACACTAGGCGATCGCAAGGTGTTATTTCTTGCACTCAGATGGTTTTCCCTTTCACTCAATGGCAACAATTTGGTTAACTTTTGATCGCATGGTATACACCTTGCTATTGCAAGTTGTAAATTTTTCCTTCATCTTCAACTTGGTCTCCGGATTTCTTTTGTTTAGCTCAATTTCCTTCCAATTTGCATCTTTGGTCCTTTATCTCAATACATAGGTAGAAATATAACACTAAACTTTAAAGGCTTATGCCTTCACAACGTAAGGAGTGAAAACCAATTTAAAGATATTTGTTCCTTCTCTTAGGCTGAAGCTCCGATCCTCCTTCCCATTCCCTACAGGGTTTCGGGAGTACCAACTCTTTACTCTATTCGGCCCACAAGACTTACAACACTAACTGTTGATCCTCATCCTTCACAATCATCTGAAATTGATCCATCTCACGTTTCGAAAGTTTACAACTAATTCTCGAACTTTTCAAATATTGAATTTAGCTCTAAAACTTGTGAGTCCCCTCCGATTGCTTTCTTAATTCTTCATATCAATCTCATGCAATCTGGTTAACCTTTAATAGCTCCGAACCAATTTCAAATTAGCTCAAAATCATCTTTCTTTGCGTCAATTGTATCCAAGTTGGGGGCTTTCTTAAAATTAAATAATTAAACTAAATTAATTAGATATTTGTTCAATTAGTAATAATTTTTCAAGTATAAAAGTACAAATAAGTGTGTAAAACACACTTATAACTATTCGTATTAAATTATTTCAGAGAGATTATCCTCCATAATCAAGCAATTATACAAAA